CCCCTATTGCATTGTGCAAACAGACAAGCCTCAACGCCATGTTTGGAAGCAGGGAAAAAAAAAAAAAAACAAAAACCAAAACATCCTTTCCAGAATATCGCCGTCTTCCAAACATTGTGAGAAACGCAAAGGCGTGCAGACACGACGCGTAACCAACAGCGCGGGGGGACGCGTGTCCCCAAATGCAACAACGGCTGAGGGGTGCACGTCTGAGTGGCCGACACCACGATGTAGGACAAAAGACCAGCACGGACTGGGATGGGACCCGAGCAAATCCTGACTAGCCTTGTCTTGTCTTTCTGCTCCCCAAAGTCTTGTTCCTCTCAGCGCGGCGTGTCCGGTGGGTGCGTTCCGTTGGGACAGCCTATGAGACCCTCTGACTCATTCTTCAAGTTCTAGTCACCCCGAACCCGAGGCGGCGGCGGCGTCGTCCACCAGGACATTTGTCCATTCCGTTTCAACCCGTCGCGTCTGCCCATCCCGCGCACCGGCCGGCGTTGTCACGGCGAGCGGCCTGACACGCGGGCGCCGGGGGGCAGGACGGAACGCCGCGGAAACGCGTAGCCTATGTTCGAGAAAGCAAAGCAAACGCTGGCGATGACTCAGGTGAGCTTGAAAGCGGAAGTCTTTTTTTTTTTTTTTTTAAAGGCCAGATAAGGCAGCTGAGGGAGATAGTGGCGATAAACACGCCCTTTTGGAAGACCTTTCGCTTGTTTGTTCCGGAACAAACAGTGCAGGCGGCAGCACACGGAGAATGTCTTTACGGTGGGGCGCAATCACGTGGGCCGAAGATCGGCTTTTCATCACGCAACAACAACAACATATAGAGTCACACTGATTAAATTGCTAACAAAAAAACAAAAAAAAAAATCATTGATTGCTGGTTAACTCATAATTATAATCTGGTTTTTTTTTTTTGGTGGGGAGGGAGATGTCGGATCGACAATGTCATCGATAGATGGCGCGAATTGTGACGGTGCAGTCAATTTTGCACGAATGCGAAATACAAATCTATCCCGAAGCGGAAGCACCCAGGGGGGGCCAGATGCAAAACGCTGCCAACCGTCGGCCAATTCATTTTCAGAGAACAAGCCAAAGTCGTTTCGCTCGGGTGGACTCTCCGCTGTGGGCCACGTCCTGACAAGATGTTTTCAGAGCAAGGCGGCAAAGGGAGTACGAGAGAGCCTGAGGGCCCCCACCCTCTTTGCTGATAGAAGGCTACATCAAAGCCCTTTCCCGTGCTTAGCCAGTGCAACAACCTGCGAGAGGAAAGGCGACGTACGGGCAGACCGGGGGAGAAAAAGGCGGGCCCGAGAGGCCTCTGCGTGGCATTCGCAAACGCCGTCCAGGAGGAAACGTTTGCGAGGGGCTGGGAGAAGTCGCGCTGCCGCGATTTAGCAAGCGAAAAGCCCGCCGTTTGCGTCATATCGTGGTGGGAGGGGAGCAAGCGTGCGTGTATAAACCCCGCGTCTTCGTCATCAGCGATCTTCATATTGATACCATTGAATTCAAACCATTGGAGCTTTTGTAAAGAAGCCCAGTAATTTTTTTTTTTTTAAAGTCCCCAGCAATTGGAAGCTCAAGCTTGCGACTGACGCAAGACTTGACTGAGAGGCACACCGAGACTCGTTGTCGAATTATTCAAGTCACGTTTAACATGTTAGAAACTGTTTCTGATTGTGAAACAAATTCACGGGGGTCAGAAAGCTCATTAAAAAAAAAAAAAGGAAACATCCTGACTCGATGGGGTGTGCGCAAAAGAGTCAAGTTCCTGTCATAGATTTTTGGTACGCCGCGTTCATAGAGAGAGAAAAAAAAAAAAAAAAAAAAAAAACAACCAAGGATTGAAGAAGGCACATTGTCCATTTGTTTGGTCACATCCGATGAGTCTGAAACTGACCCAAGGACAAGTTTGAACAGTTCCCATTGGAACGGCGAGCATCTTCACTGCTTTCTTTCGATCGCATCCAAAAGACATTCGAGTTTGTGGAGCAATCAGCGGGACCAAATGGCACTCAAGTCGAACCAGCCTGCTCCGTTTGGCTGATTGGGCACCATTTTGTCCTTTTCATGCTCCGCCCTTTTTGTCTTTCATCAGAAAGCGTTTTGGGATGCGCCGATGCATCCGCACCAGTCTAAAAGCTCCAGACAAAGCGGCCCACTCGTCTCCCTCTCAACCTCCCGCAAAGCGCGATGCCGCTTCAGGGTGTCGCCTCGGCTCTGGAAACACTCGCGGAGCTATCAGTGCAGCAGCTCGCAAGCCTGACCTTTCCAGTCAGAGGGGCGGTGGGGGAGAAACCAAATGAGGGCAAGACCTTTTGCATCACACGGAACACGGCGCGGCCTTGTCAGGCAATTTGTCCGGGCCGTAAAACGCATCTTGGAGACTGGTGGCTCATCTGACGTGAACATCAAGTGCCATGACTTAAGAACACGTTGCGCCAGAGAAGCGGTTGCTTTGTTCCGCCCTAGTGGATGGATGTTCCTTCTCTCATT